CTGTTTATATTGGTTGGATTCGCTCATTTATATAACTGAACGGCGGCGACCAATGACTAATAAATAAATATAAGTTTATTTATTTCACTTTTTCTATGTGACTACATGCCTTATGACTATGAAGTGCCCTCTTTTGTGTATTTCAACCAGTTACCATGTTTGGATGTATCATAAACAATTAGTCTTTTTGACGTATTCATTACAACCAAGCATTTATCTATTTATCCAGATCCTTCGTTTCCCATAACAGGTTTGGTTTGTAACAGTCTGTCAGATCGATTAATTTAACTCACAACCAAAGCACAAGGCTTTGCACTTAGCCTAATGTTTTTCGTAAATGCTCTGCTTACACTTATACATTTCTTCTATAACTTCTAGACCATGACCCATATTCACACTGACAGTTCAATACATTCGGCACTCAACCTCTTAAAATTGGTTGGGTTTGGTATACAGTTATTTTGTAGGTACACTCCATATCCAGTCATCCCGATTTATGATTATTTTTTTGATGAGGCTCAAATCAGACTCTCGTTAGGAACGTTAAAGTTATTTTGACCTGAGTAGCTTACATTTTTAAAAATCAATCTTCTTTTAAAAAATATTGTGTTCGGCTTATACACCCCTTAAATGACTTACTAGATCTTAAGTAGCATGAATTCACAAGCTCCTCAGTTAAAGGTTAGTCGTGGTCCTAATTACTGGTCTGTGAAACATATGAAGAATCAGGTTGTGCGCCAAATGTGATGTCTAACAGAATGGAACAGATGTGAACTAGGAGACGAAAGGCTTATATTTGAAGAACGATAAATATTTACTTATTTGGATATGAAACAAAATAGCAGAAATCGTTTAAGTAACCTAAAAATTCATAATCGTTATTAATCTTTTTATCAAGCACCGACCTCTTATTCTCAAGGTAAGTCTACGTTTGCATGCAGTGGGCAGTTTAGGTAGAACAGCGAAATTAACAAAAGGTCAAAAGCAGGATACTAAGAAGCCGCAACCACAAAAGTACAAGTCATAATGAATACTTAAAAGACTGAGTTTTATGATTATACAAACATATTCTTCTATGACAGTGTGTTGCAATTTTTCAAGTAACTCAGATCATCTCAATGAAGGAATTTTACCATAGGGCCCTCGTCAAAATTTAGATCATTGAGAAATTCTATTGGAAAGAATAAACTTTCATGTACTACCTTATGCTTTTGGAATATAAATCTGTGTTTTATAGTATTTTTTGCCGACTGAAATATAAACAGTTTTCTAATTAGACCGGTTTGACCAGTGCACTCTGCTAGCTGAAGTATACGGTAAAATGATGAGATATGTAGCTAATCAAAACAGCTTTCGACTCTACCACATCTCCTCATGAAGTACCTATCGTTTCTCACATCGAAACTTATAAGTAGGCATAGAGAAAATACATTTATCTTTCAAAAAACTCACAATATCACAACACCCAAATGGATGATCAACGACGTAATAAAAACGGATTCACAGTTTCATTATTCTGGGGAAAAGTACGTCAGTTTTCAAAATGTATCCAACATTCATCAACCTACAAATCTAACCGAGATAGTCAAATGATTATTCACTACTGAGTGTTGTCATTTGCCTGACGCAATTTTTTGAAATGAATTTTTCAATTCAGGGAAATTAACTGGTTGGTTCCATACTTAGGCAAATTTCAAAAAAGTTGATTTGATCCAAGAATGCGAATTCTTCCACTTGCTGAGATATAATATTTCTGTTACTTTTATTGTACCAGAAGTTAGACTTAAACGCATAGTGAATACTTTCATCACTTTTTAAGTTTATGGAGTATTTTTCACACGATTTTCTCCACAGCCTTCTTTGTTGTTTCGTATCTGTGTATTCACATGCACCATTTTCCCCATTCTTTCCTGAGTTAGGTCTTTTGTTCTATCCAATGTTTGTTGCGTAAAATATCACAGGTTGAATTTGGGTCTTTGATGCATGTTTATAGTAACTGTAGTAACGTCAAATTTTCGACATTTTGCGATTAAACGTTTTAACTTTTTTATCAAGATCGCGTTGTATATGAAGGAAATTCAGAATCATCGATGCAGTCAACTATTCTCCCTGTACCCGGTTCAAGATGATATACAGTGTGATTGGTACGAGATGGTTTCACAAAATCTGTACCAATCCATCACTAGCTTTGCAAAACCTTTGCTACAAACCGACGTCAGCGAGGCCATGTGGAGAATGCTAATTCACTAGTGCGATTCTCCTAGATGAAGCCTTGAAGCTTCTCACTTCGATGAATGAGTTACCAAGTGTTGATGCCCACTCGGCAGGCTTGATATCATAAGAGGTTCAGCCGATAGTGCTGTCAGCTCAGCTCTTGCTCCTGCAAGGTAGACTGAAAGTACAACTTTCGGTTCACTCAAAGGAGAGACAAACCTTATTCAGTCATTCCTTACGCGTAATTGCAATACTCCCCGTACTGATAGGAAACCTGTCAAAAATGGATATACTTTAAACATTGCTGACAAGGTGAATGCAGCTATTTGATGAACAGAAAGAGGAGTGCTCTCACAAAAAATATCAGGTAGCACAAACGAATAGATTCATCCGAAAGTCAAAATCAACAATTAAAGAAAACCTTCTAGAAGTTAGTTTGAAAGAGACAACAACGCAATCAAAATCCGTGGACACGATTCTCAAAAAAGCCGAATTGGGTCAGAGATTCTATGTTTGGATCCTGCTGGAATCAAAGAAAAAATAACCATTCTAAGTGGTATGCATTTTATCTGGATTTAGTGGGACGTGTCATCAGAAATGCACTGCCAGAATAGATTCTGTGAGTTCATATTACTAAGATAATAAAACCCAGTAATTTCGTCAAATGCAAGATTCAGAAAAAGAATATCTTGAAGTTAGGACTCAGAAGTAGCGAGAGTAGGGACTTCATAGCAAATAAGACAATATAAAACTAGCAATTCGAATATTCGTGTCCGATCACATTGCTTACTTGAGGATCCAGTGAAGTGATAGAAAGCGCTTACTGAGTTAACAACTTGGAAGCAAAGTGACAGAAAAAACTCTAAATTCAAGTTTTTCGGGCAGTCAGGCCTTCGAGTCCAATGTTTCCGAGGCCTGTATGGATAGAATTGGTGATCCACAAGACACCTTTAGTTTGCTCAACAAAACATTAGTAGTCTTAAGTATAAAACTTTTGAGCTCACCTTCATGAGGGATGAATTAAGTTCCGATGCAGTTATTTTCAAAGAAACGTGACTCACTCCAATCACTGCAGAATACATCTGCATTAGAGGTAATAGAGTTAAAGATCACTGGAGATAAGGCGTAATATTGTATGTTAGAGATCACTTTCATATGCTATCGAACGCACCAGAGGGGCATGATAATGATTGTCAGGTAGCTTGTCGAACAATTAAATCCAGACGTAGGTTAGTGACCATAGGAGTAATATACCATAATCCACAGTAACCTGCTGACGACTTTATCCTTAAGTTAAAACATTACTCAGTGTAAAGCTTACTGTCGTCTTACCGTTGGATATTTCAACACCCTGAGAATTGATCAGACAGAGCTTAAAACTTCAGGTGTATATTTTGTTGATTGCCCGCTGTCGACCATTATCCACTATGCACTTATGCAATGTATCAGAAAGTCAACACGAGTTGGCTTGTACTATGAACTATCATTTCTAGATCTTGTCGTAACACACCACTGTGATGATGTCATCGATATCTAATACCTACGCTCACTAGTAAACAATTATCACAATATTCTGTACGTTAGGTTTTGGACACGACATACAGTATGCATCAGCCCCACTCCGTCCAAATATCTGATGAGCTAACTTTCTGGTAATCAAAAACTGTGCTAATTCAACAGACTGGTCGATCAATGAAGACAGATCGGTCGAAGACGAACTGGATAGGCTTAAAGCCACATTAGAGAGCAGCATTGTCGTTCACTTCATGGTGAACACACTGGCCTCCAACAATTGATTGGGAAGGTCGATAGCTGTTGCGGCATAGGAAACATTACTGGGATTTGTTCTCATTAATGAGACACGAATACTGAAAAGCCCAGAGTGTACTTAAGAAGAACATAACCAGGTGCCGCGTCATTTACGAAATACAGTTGGCAAATAATGGCAATCTCGAGCCCGAAAGATTATCTTCGTACACTGAACGATGAAGAAACGTGGTGAGAGAATCCCATCATTATTGTGGCACGAAAATCCGGATGCACCGTACAAATCAGATTTCACCAAAGTTGTGACTGTATCAAACTATTTCGGTGAGCACTAATCAATGGGTATTGTCAACTTCACTTTCTATTACCGTACCACTGGTGAACCTATGTGAAACCTCACGTAGAGTATTATATTCGAGCAGCCGGTCTACGACTTACTAAAGATCATATTACACTGAAAAATTCAGAATTGACTGATCACTGGGTGATGATCAATGTCATGTGTGTCAGGTCGTTCTTAGTGCAGATCGAACGTTAACGACCAAGTTGCAATGTGGCCACTAGTCTAGGTGACTCGACATTGTGTACACTATGTTGAGATAAGATGGTGGTCGGGGGTAGTCAACAGGAAACCCTGGACCCGAGTGCTGAGCGAACTTCGTGACAGGTTTTTCCAACTCACCCTACGATTAGAGCTAAAAAGGTTTAAACCTATTTCCCATGTCGTAGCATGCTAAGTCACTTGCCTTTTCGCCTGCTTCATATCCATTCATCTCTGGGGCTACAGTTAGAGGGTTCTGGAAAGTAAGAGTAAGGACCCCGTTTTTCTTATGAATTGGTCAGAGAATGGAATATCGTACCTAAACGAGTGGCATCAGCCCAATCAGTGAGTGCATACAAGAAGAAGCTAAGTTTCCGGTAGAGAACGATTCGCAGAGACTGGCACAATTTCACTAATCCACTGTTTTTATTACTGAAGAGTAAGTACTGAACTGACATATTTGTTATAACGATTCAGTTGTATGAACTCTTTTGCTGTCGTCTTTGAAGTTTGATCTAAGTTTCTGAGTTCATTGCCGTTTTTCTATGAGTCTTGAAGTCTTCCATAAAAACTCCTGCATACCACAAAGAGTTTGTATTTGGTGAGACCTCAGAATTTTCTGGAGTGTCTTGATCACCAAACCAACCGGTAATGAATAAAGTTGATTTTAAATATGTTTAGTTAATGAGTTACTAAAACTCCATTCTTTTGTAATCACAAGAGACCGGAGTTATTTTTTAATGTAATCAAAAGATGTAGTATGTAGTTCCAAATACAATTTTTATTTTGTGATCACTGTTATGAAAGGGTGTTTTCTATATATATACCCCAATTTCATTATCTTGGAGAAATTTTAAGATTCTCCCCAAAGTTGTAAGAGATATAATAGCTTTCCTCAGAACTAAAGAAATTTTGAGGTTGTTGTGCCACTCACTCGAACGGGAAAAATTTTACCCCAATATAGGGAGGTTAGGATATATATATATATATATTTAGTGGAGATTTAAGGAATAATTCATAGTCACTTCAAGCTTGAAGCGCACATACAAAATATGCTGAATATGGAAACCAGAAATTCCTCCTCTATTTTTGCTAGAGTGCGTTTAATGTGTTGCTGGGACTAGAAACAGATATATTTCCCAAAACAATCAACACGATTCCTGACTATTCGTAGCTGAATTTAAGATGCCTAACCGCTTACAATGGGGAACAACGTTTGATCTGTAGAAATAAATATGGGTTGACCCATATTGACGCACTATTCTTTCGACGAAATAGCTTCCCTAACAATCTAGTTACGACGTACTAATGCAGTATTAGACTTGAAATAGAGAACATTTTACATTACGTTTCACTCAAACAAACATACAAATGCTGATGTTATGCACTGATTTTTAGTACATAGAAGTTTCGACATAATTTCAGGCAACACTGAACTCACAAACATGAAATTTATTTGCAGCAGTAATTTTGGCTAAAACTCAAAAGATGTCTTAGAGGCGCTAGCAGAATCAAATAATGTAAGTAAACAAATAAAACGTAGAAACGCTTTTTTTACTGATTCGAAACGTTGAATGTGTTCGTCAGTTAATAGTCCTAAAACGAACGATATGAATCAACTTTGTATGAGGAAATGCCTAGAGGCACCGTCTAAACATTAAGTGCAAGTGTATATCTTGATGTATACACCGATGTATGTATTCTTAGTAGTTGTTTATCATGTTTATTTTTTACCCACAATTTATATCTAATTGATATATTAAGATCTCGCAGATTGTTTCTATCTTTTGCTCAATGGGTTTCGATTTGACATTTCCTGTGTGTGATTTGTATCGACAGTTGCTTAAAAAAGGCTAATACTGATATGTTCATATCAAACGACACCATAACACTGGTCTCAACATTCAAAATCTTATACAGATGAAACAAAGCCCTCAAGTTTCAAACTTTTCTTTTATCTTAGTCAATACAGTGAGACAGGTGCACTTGTTATTCAGATTAACTTAATCTTGTTCCCATTTTGCATTTCAATAATGATGATTTTCCTACTTCGCAAAGATGTTGGTCCTCTTCTTTAAAGTTACCGTTCTTTATACACCACGACGGTATTTAGGCACATTATGTTTTTTAACGTGATTGCATTTATCTGCCGTTTTGTTCATAAATTTTTCACACAGTTACAAAGCATTTGTCAAACGTGTTGAACTGTAATGTAAAGTTTAAACGTCAGGTTGTTTGTTTAAGATATATGTATTATAATTTTTGGACGATAAGTCATTCAGTATTCCTAATAACGACTCCTGTAATTTAAAGTTAGGTCTAAAGGTATGACAGGTATTTGGAGCTTGTCAACACCTCCATATGTAACACCGTTTTAATTGAAGGATACCAGTCCAGTTGAACCAGAAGTTAGAAATGAAAGTATTCGCAGACATTCTTAGAAAGTCAATGAAATGTCGAGAAGTGTTTGGTTTAAGCTGAATAGTATTTGTGAAGGATGTGTAGCTCAAAGTACCCGCTCGTGATCTGTCGCAAGTGCGCGACCAAGCGCCTTCAGCTGTGATATGTTCCGTAAAACTAATTGGGTTAGCATCAATGTCAAAGAATTACAGAACTATTTATTTTAAGAATTTATCTGCTACCATAGGCCTTGACTGTCTGTAACAACGAAATTTATTTACCATTAGTCAAAGTTCTTTCAAGAGATTCAGCAGGAAAGTCTTGGCTGATATCCATCTTTCACTAATCTGTCATAGAACACCGTCTGAACAGGTAGTTTTTCTATCCTTAACAAAATAATAAGCCTTAAGTGTTCAGTCTGCCATAATGATGTGGAACAGGTAATAAGTACAGTAAAAAGTGGAAGCTAGGGAAATGTAACTATCATATACACTGATATTTAGGTACCATGTCAAGAAACATTCACAGTTAACCACCACACTTACGTAACAACAAAAGTGGTAATTCTATCTGTCTGAACAATATCCGACGTTATTTTGGTGCTATAATTTTTATTTTGTTTATAAACCAATTAGCATCATACAAACATTTATTGAGTTCATTTTATAGAAATGCAGCCAAATGTTTGCACAACTTACGATGTCTGTATTCTACTGGTTCCTCGTCGAATTCAGTGCATGCTTTATTTAAACGAACTTGGAATATGTTTTGTACCAAATCACTCTTCTTTCCCCAACAAAATGCATATTCACAAGAACCTAGTAATTGAGTGCAAGAAAGAAATCATATTAAGAAATAAGAAAAAGCAAAATACAGGCCTAAAAATAAGTTATTTCAAAACAAGAAAGGTAAAAAGTCATTTAAATGGTTGATGTTTTAGGTGTACGAAAAGAAAAAAAAATTACAAATCCTTGAAAGAACAAGTCTTAATATACTTTTCTCATCTGATCAAAAAGCTTCCGAATGCATGAAAGCAATTGAGTTTTTCTTCAAAAGTGCTCACACAAACAACGGTAAATGAGTTCAGTATTTGTCCGTTGATATTAAACAACTTGAGTGCATTTTTTTCAAAAGTTTTTTCTGTGTTAATTAATTATCTTGTGCTTTGGCTCTGCATCTGTGCTCAGATGAAAGTAATCCATACAAACATTTAGATATAAAAAGATATGTTAAAACTAAATAATCTGATAGTAAAAATGATTTACAATGGTCAGCATTTGTGGCTTTATTCTTTACACTACCATATGAAATGCTCGACTTAATTAAACTAGTTGATTGAATTTCTAACATCTTATGTTTATAACAAGAACATAGACTAATTTTATTTATTTGCACTAGACAGACATCTAAGGCTCTCGATCATAGACTTGTTTAAAGCGCGCAAATGATCATTTTTGGAAATACAAAACAAATCATACTTTATATTTACATAAGTCCAGTTTATTCACAGTAGATGATGATAATAGATAGTTCTTATATTATGTTTTCAACATATTCTGTTTTATAATGAAATACTTGGGTTTGTTTAAACTCGCATAATTTTCCATGAAATTGCATTCTAACGAAATTTTAATAAAAGTCTATTTTAATTCGCTTATTCATCAATTTAGCTAAACCTTATTTAGTCTTAATAAATCCTAAAAGTGGATCAGGAAATGCTCTGAATGGTTTTAACTTCGAAATTTCCCCCATTTGGAAACAAATGAATGTTCCATATGAATTATTTTGTACAGGTAATTAATTTAACTGTCTCATTTTAGATTTTTCAATTGATAAATCTATTATATCGTAATAAGCAAAACGTTCAAAATACTCTATAATATTTCAGACGCTTTTTATGAAGAGAGTTCACAAAATCACTATATGTTAAATGACAGAAGAATTAGTTATAACTAAGTGAAAACCAATTATCAGAAATTAAATTCTGAAACTGCAAAATGAATGTTTCGTATTAATGTACGAACACATGACCAGACTCATGTGCAATAAATTAGTATTTTCAGTAATTACTAATGCTAATACTAAATTAAGTCAAAAGAATAATTTGTATGATAGTTTAAAAAAAACGTGATGCCAAGATATATGATGTTACAAAATTACAACCATAGTTTTGATACTGAGACAATCAAATATTTCTTTGAAAAGCTTTAAATTTCAAATCAATTATATTATTCGAGAGACTTATCAATCGAACAGTTAGAATTAACTATTCATTTGAAATTAGAATTCCATGTGCTTATTAATATGAAGTTATTCAAATAGTAGACTGACCTTAACTGACCTGAACTTCCAGTTGAAATTTAATAATCAGCTTATATTAAAAAGTTGAAATATAGTGCATCTCAGCAGATTCAGATCTATTTTTTATTGACTAATACTAGTAAACTATAAGCTCATATATATAGACTCCTAAAGATAATTTGAACCAAATCCCAAGCTACATTTAGAAATCACATAGTTGAATTGTGTAACAACACTTTGGCAATTTCTGTGCGGTGATTAATCAACAAATGGATATGAATTTTATAATGCAAGTCAACGTAAATATGGTCAGAGACTTTTAAACTACTGGATATTTCAATATTAGTACAGTGAGGGAGAAATGTATGTAAGTTATGAATTTTTGACGAAATAAATGTTAATCCATAAGAATTCCTTGAACCCTATTTCCTGGTTCTCGAAACTCGTTATCAGGCTGTATTCTGAACCTTGAATGGACTGATACTTTCGCTGAGAATCAAACCAGAATCACTTGGTGCTACAGCACTACAAAGTGGAGAAAATGACGCAGGGAACCACTCAACGACTGATTATTGCAAATATCTCAGTCCTATAAAAAACCCAGAGGTAACGTCTCTGATTGCACCATTCCGTGATACGAGTGTAATTATTTAATGGACTATAATTTATTTTAAGATTTTATGGTTGGCATCACGAAGTGATCTTATTTAAGTAACCTCTGAATAGCATAAAGCACTGAACAGGTGTTTCGTCAGAGTACAGGACCCATCAACAGTGAATCCCACCGCAGATCTAACCTAGGACCTTTAGTTTTACGGCTAGCCTTGATTTTGACCGTAAATTGATTGATTACGTGATGATATCAGGGTTAACTGTTAGCATTTTTAGTCCAATATACGTAAGTTGTTTCATTATAAAGTTATGATGGTTTTTTATTTGTTTTGTCTCATCAGTAAAATCACTTATATTAGTCTAAGTTTCAAGTTCACTGTAGTTTAACAAATAACTAATTTTTTCAGAATTATGACTAATAAAGTGTCACGTAATAGGGGATAAAAAGCTAAATGATAAAAGCATCTGCAGAAACACAAGTATGTTTCAAGAACCCACATTACAACTATACTGTTAGTGCCATTTAAAATGACTTTCCATCAATTATTAAAATCCTCTTGAATTATACTGATAGAATTATTCCATCAACTAAGTAAAAATGATTTAATAAAAAGACATAAAAAAAGTCATTGTATATAACAGATAGAATAATACTAATTGTTCTTTAACCAACTGACTATCTTTACTTTCATTCATTTTCCAAAGTAAGTCGTTATCATATCAAAGTTATTTCAATATTTCAATGATATTTTCAACGTAAAATGTAAAAAATAATGTTTTATTTAATTACGTCAAACTACATGATATCCTAGTGAAATCATTTTTTTGTTTAATAGAGTAAAAAAAGTATAGACAGATGCAATTTTTAATAAATTGGTATTTATGTTATCTGAACCACGACCATTAGAGGTTGGAACTGCTATATGTAGATGAAGTTTTTAAACATAATTTAGAATGATTACAAAATTGTAGAATGAGATCATTTGAACAACCTTAAACAGCTTATCTAACTGTTAATTATCTTTTAACGTATATTTTCCTTGCTCTATCCATATTTTGACTTATTGACACAATTTATCAGGTTTTCACAATATGTTATCTGAAATTCGTACTTTTCAAAATTGAACATTTTTATGCTTACTTATCTACCCTGCATACTGAGTCTATACTTTTCTTTTTTTTTATCCAACTTTACATAATTAAGCCTAAAAATACTATTTCTACAACTCATAATGGTAACATGTATTTCGATATTCGTCTATAAAACTATCAATACTAAGTGTTTATTTTACTAAGATAGATTAATCATTTAAAAATGATTTCTCACCTCGTTCACCGTTTACTTGGAAATTAAGACTATAGTCAAATGATTCTAATAATAAATGGATTTGTCGATTAAGCTAAAACAAAAAATAAATAATGTCAGTTTAAGCAAAAATATCTGGATTAAATGTTGTTTGTAAAAATAAGTATTTTTGTTACAATAACTAATCTTATATATATGATTAAATCCCATTCTGACGTATAATTGAGATGTCAGGTTGATCATACATGAAGACCATTTTAACTTACTTTCTAACCCATAAATAAAAATAAAATATTTGTAATATTGCAATGAGTAGAAAAATTAGGTTTTTTGACGTTTCGTGACTCAGTGTAAGCCACTTCTTCAGAGAACAAATAACCGAATCAAAATCAACCCAAGCTTAAATAGTACAAAGGAACAAAGCAAGAATATTAGGTACGATCAATCAAAGAACAGGTTTGAGGAAGTCATTGGTATATCATTTCGGTCAAGGTGGATTTCAAGCGACATGTATGTAAACTTGTGTTTTTGTATGTGTGTAGGGTCAGGGATAAAAAAATGTAACCTTTGTAGTGTGAAATGTGAATAATATCAGACATGGTAACTTGGATAGATAGTTCAGGTCGGATGGATATCGAGGCCTTCTTTTCTGCTGAGAGCAGTAAGATTAAGTATCATATGAAAAACTTCAGCATTCTCCCTTCTTTGTAGTTGGAAAAGCCTTTTTGTAATATTTTGATGTTTTTGATACCGCTTTGGTAGTTATCGAAAATGATGAGAACTGATATTGTCGACTTAATTTGGAGTTCATCCAATTCTACCGGATTACTAGGTGGTTTTTTATGTAACTAAGATGTTCTTTGGCTCGAGTCAAGATTTCGCGAGATGACTCTCTGATATAGAAGGTATCACGATCAACAGACAGTTCTGTGCTGACATAAAGGGGATTTTTTCTTTCAAGCGAACTAACGTATTTTGAAGCGTGTTCGTTTTTTCGTAATATATTTTAATTGTGTGTGGTTTTAGAATTCTTTGTAGTCCTTCTGTTGTACCATGGCGTTATGGTAAAACCGCAGTACCAATCCATGATATTTCATACAAATCATTAATTAGCAGTGAAATATCTTGCTTTATTACGCTTTTAATAATCTTCATGGGAAAATTATTAAATTGTAAGGTTTTAGTTACATGTTTTTGCTCTTTTTGTTTGTCCTCTTCAAATGTGATAATCTTGTTAGTTCTTCTGAAAAGCTTGAACTGTCTATCCAAGCTACTATTTCTGATACTATTCACATTTCCCACTATTATCGTAAAGACAAATTAAACTCTATCCTTTCTTACTACAAAGGTTACAATTTTTCATTCCTGACCTTGCATACGTACTTACTTCCTCAATTACTTACGCCTATTACTCCCAATGGGGCATAGGTCGCCGACCAGCATTCTCCATCCCACTCTGTTCTGGGCCTTCCTTTCTAGCTTCATCCAATTCTTGTTCATTTTTATCATGTCTATCTTCGTTTCCCAGCGTAATGTGTTCGTTAGTCTTCCTCTTTTCCTTTGGCGTTGAGGATTCCATGTAAGGGCTTGTCTTGTCACTCAGTTGGATGCTTTCCTGAATGTGTGTCCTATCCACTTCCAGAGCTTCTTCCTGATTTCTTCGTCCGCTGGGATTTGGTTTGTTCTCTATCACAGTATGTTGTTGCTAATAGTGTCTGGCCAACGGATCCGAATTATTTTGCGTAGACAACTGTTAATAAGCACTTGTATCTTCTGTATGATGGCTTTTGTAGTTCTCCAAATTTCCACCCCATACAGTAGAACTGTCTTGACATTTGTATTGAAAATCCTGACCTTGGTGTTGGGTGACAGTGGTTTTGCGTTTTAGATGTTCTTCAGTTGTAAATATGATGCTCTTACCTTGACGATCCTCACCTTCATATCTGCATCAGATCCACCGTGTTCATCAATGATGCTGCTCAGATATGTAAAGGTTTTTACATCTTCCAAATCTTCTCCGTCAATTGTGACTGGATTGGTGCATGCTGTGTTGTATCGGAGAATCTTTCTTTTCCCTTTGTGTATATTGAGACCTACTGCTGCTGAGGCTGCTGCTTTACTGGTCGTCTTCTCCTGCATTTGTTGTTGCGTGTGCGATGGAAGAGCCAGATCATCTACGAAGTCTAGATCGTCCAGCCGCATTTTAGCTATGCATTGTATCCCGTGCTCCCCTTCAGATGTTGACGTCTTCACGATCCAGTCGATCATCAAGAGAAAGAGAAAGGATGAGAGTAAGCAACCTTTCCTGACACCGGTATTTACCTCGAACGAGTTTGTCAACTGTACTCTATGCACAATTTTGCAGTTTAATCCACCATAGGAATTCTGTATGATATTGACTATCTTCTGAGGCACGCGGTAGTATCGAAGAAGCTTCCATGGTGTTGTTGTGTCCACGCTATCAAATGCCTTTTCGTAGTCAATGAAGTTGATGTAGAGTGATGAATTCCATTCAATTGATTGTTCCACAATGATCCGTAGAGTTGCGATTTGGTCTTTACACGATCTTTCCTTACGGAATCCTGACTATTGATCTCAAAGTTGGGCATCTACGTAGTCATTTGTCCACCCTGCACACATACACAAACACAAGTTTACATACATGTCGCTTGAAATCCTCCTTGACCGAAATGATATACCAATGACTTCCTCAAACCTGTTCTTTGACTGATCGTACCTAATATTCTTGCTTTGTTCCTTTGTACTATTTAAGCTTGGGTTGATTTTGATTCGATTATTTGTTCTCTGAAGAAGTGGCTTACACTGAGTCACGAAACGTCAAAAAACCTAATTTTTCTACTCATTGCAATATTACAAATATTTTATTTTATTTATAGCAACCTACACAATGCTCAATTTATTTGAAATTTTCATGGCAATCTTTGTTAATGATACCCCCAAACTCATTTCTACCACATATTTTATGATTGTAAAGTTGATGAAGTACTTGAAAGTTCTAGATTTCAGAATTAAAACTTGCTTGCAGAGTATTAAAATGGTGGATACTCCTCAAAGATTTAGAAGCAAAATAAACAAATATTCAAACATTCTATAGCATAAATTTAGCTCATTTTGTCAACTATACACAATCTATATCATACTAGTGATATATATGACAGTAAAGTTGTATTGTGACTAAAATAAATATGAAAGTAAATAACAAACACTCAAAGTGTATAATGAAGAATATTAGGCAATTTATAATCAAAGCATAAGTAAATGAATAAATGACAAAAAATGACAATCACGAGTAAAAAAGTCAAATTTACAGATAGTTAGTTGATCTAGGCAACACAATACGTGATCTTATTAGATAGAGATATCCAGACTACTGGGAACCTACATTACATTGATTGAGGCAAATAACAATGACATTTTATTATTCCGTTTGCATACGTTTCAGAAATATTAAACGCCGTAATGTTAACTTTCTATTGATCAGAACAAAACCTGCTAACAGAAAGATGATAAACAGGTGTTACGTGATTAGAAACAAATGAAAGAAGCTCTGGACTTAGGTTGTATCACTCGTCATCGTTTAAATTTATTTAGCGTAAAAGAATAAATAAGGATGACACTGATTGCTCAGTAGTCAGAAGTCTACCAACATAATGATAAACCACCAGACAATACGTCCTTCCATAACTTATAATAACATAAACATAAACTCAGTATTATATGTATATCTTCTTTATTATACTGAATTATGCTCGAGAAGAGTTTACACGGTAATGCATTCCTAAATGTTTAACTTATATGCCTTTCATATTAACCATAAATACGTTATTTATGCATTCATGTATTCAAATATCAATTTTGATACCATATTTCTGCTATTTAGAATATCCAGGCCATGCAGAAAATTTTATCAGAAATTTACCAAAAGCTAGTCTTTTACGTTATCGAGCAATAGTTACGTGTTCAGGTGATGGACTAGTGTATGAAGTAATTAACGGATTCATATCAAGAAAAAATTATGATGACGCCATTGATGAGGATACAATACCTGTTGGAATTCTACCAGGAGGTAGTGCTAATTCAACTGCTGCTTCAGTTTGTTATCATTCTGGGTAATTAAATATTTAACAATGCAAACAAGTTAGATATGCTATTTATTAGAATAGGTTTTTGTTTTGAAGCACAGCAGAACATAACTGTGCACAAACTATAAAGCAGATGAATTAACGCCGATGTATATCCAGTTACTTAGTAATGTATTTCATAAACAAATGTGTTTGTTAAATTAGTTAACATAAACCAAACATAAATATAAAATTACAATTTAGTCATTTAGTCACCAGTCTATGTGATAAAGTTTTGTTAATTTGACTGACTAGTTTGTATTACGTAATAACTAATGACCATAAAATATCATGATCAGTCCATGCATTTGCTTGGCTAGTGGTTTCTTGATTTATCGAATAATTGATAGCCATTTCTTATACCCAAATCCATTCTCAGTCTGTGGTCACAAAAAAGGGCAAATCGATAAAAGGCGAAAATGATTTGTAATTATAGTGGCTTTTAAAGCGGTATTGAATTTTTATCACTGAGACTCCTGTGAGTCTTTGTTTCACTAATACATACATTTAATGATTAAAAGCCTTTTTGTGATTTTTTGAAATTTGATAGGCAAGGGGACAGTTAATAAATCAGAAGGTCATTGCGTTTATCATTACTGACATTCCTATTCAAAAGAATTTCCCCTATAATTTATTATCCAAATGTTCAATTCACTCACGTAGACAAAAAGATAGTGACTGTGTATTGGATTGTGGTAACAAACATAAGTTGAAATAATTTTTGAAACAAGTTCTTTTCGTATTAATTAAGAGATAGTTTGGTCTACTTTTCAAGTGATGACAATTGTGATTAAACGAGTTACAAACTAGTATTCAACTATTTTTTTAGAAGTCTTTGGTTCACTTGATTCTTATAAAGACCTACCGTCAATTACCAATAAAAAAACGTCAAACGTTTCTGCACAGAGATGTTATATATTTATAAGTTTTTTCACTAAATGACACTTGTTGAGAAACCATCGAAATTCATCCATATTGATACAGTACACTAGACGAGACTTGAAAGTTACAGGTTTACTCCTACTGAATAACGTATCTTTGGTCTGTCGAAAAGTCCCAAATGTGGACAAGACTAATAACCTCCTAAGTTTCTTAAGTTAATGTTAGTTTGCAGTGAAAGTCACATGTAAACGTTGCAATTATCAAATTATGCATAGATCAGTCCCCTAACGGAAAATATCATCATTTAATATTAGTAATAAAATACTTATTGCAAACCTTATGCTTTCCTTTATTTAGTTTATTGGGCAAATCATCACTTTTATCACACTGTGGCTTTCTGTTAACATTACCAATTGAAAATTTACAAAATAGTCAATCTAAACAAGTTAATGAGCAAAGTGAAAATTACAATTTTACTTTACCACTTTTACCGTGTATCAGTCCGATGAGTGGTATACACTTTGGAACATGTGACAGAAATTTTCATCGATACGGTATTCAAAGTATTGAATGGGGTTTCGTCGCTGATTTGGACTACAAAAGTGAACGATTTCGTTGGATGGGTGAAAAAAGATTTCTACTTTATGCATGTTACTACCTTATGAGTAAGCGTTTAGTTTCCTTTACCATATGAATCAAAACCGTTCCTTGTTGATCTTTTTAAACAAACGAATTATGTTAAACCCTTCAGACGTCAAGGGAATATAATAATATATGACTGCATTTAGTTCAATGTGACATCCAGTCAAAACAACATCATCCTATTCGAGTCTTCAGTTATTTCAATTATAAACGTGACCGAAAGACATTTATCTAAAAAAGCGAAGCATTAAAAAAGCTGCATGTAAAACATTTGAAAAAACTAGGTACTACGTTTTTAGTGAGATTCGGATTTAACTGGTCTCAAGCCTGTTTTTACAATGTGCAAAACCGAAAATATTTTAGATCTAATAGACTTCGTAAGGACTCAGTCTTCACTCTGTTGACATAGACTATGTCAATATATTTAGTTGCCTATTTTTATGCTCCACTCTAACAAAGCAGTGAGAATTGGTAATTTCTACAGAAAAGGATGTTAGTGCATTTCATGAGATTTGTCTTCTGCTGGTGATAAAGCAAAGTTCATTGAAAGTTTTCAATCTATAAAGTCTACTAGATTTTATAATAATCAAAATGAAAGAGGAAGGTTTCAGAAGAAAATACTATCGTTTCTAAACTTCAGATTGACTATCCATTCAACTGATGATGACAGTGATATTTTTAAGGAAGCGAACTAAACTAATGTTAATATGTAAAAAGAATAAAACGTCTGGAATTTTTAAACAAGTCAATCAACGACAGAATTTCTTTCCGTAATGAACCTCAAAGAGGGTCACGTATTCACTTGAAATTTGACTACAGAAAGTTGAAGATTTTACTTTGTTGAGCGTTTCACTCATTCTGGATATCTCAATTTTGAGGTTGGTGTTAGAGTTATATAATTTTTATGATTTAAGCTACGAAAAGATTAGGTTAAAACGAAACTTTGATAGATGAAGAAAACACATTCGTAGGACTAGTATTGTCTTGCTGTAGTCTAGGAGATATTATAATTGAAATCCAGTTTAAATAGTACACATTAAATCTTAAACAATTCATATTTTACTTTGCGTTATTGTTTTAAGTATTGACCTCACATCCTTATGAACTAGGTCTGTGTATAATGCGTACTCTCAAAAGTGAAACAACGCTAGTCCAGTGACCGAGTAGAAAACAGTCCCAGGCAAACCGTGTTCGATGTAGAAGTCATAAAACATTCTATCTATGAATTCATGAAGGAAAACTCGACTTTACTTAGCGAACGACAATTTACTCCGATGGCATCTAAATAGTCAAGTTGTACTTTATTCGACAAAACGCTGTTAACATTCGATCAGATTGTAAATCTATGCAAAAAACGTTTCACCATTCTTTTTATTTTTGTCCTACTAAATTATCATTAAATTTGAATAATAAAATCAACCGATAATCTATATACTTATAAATGTATAATATCCTTTTTGCCAACTAGAGAAACCAACATACCGTGCTAAATTATCATACTTACCGTTTGATAATGTACTATACCAAAAAAACAAGTATAAAAATGATGAACTGGTTCAAAAATCTTCTGTACCATCAACGGTAAGCCAAATTACTCACTTGACTAGTTCTCACTTAAGTTATTTTTGTCATAAATTGTTATCACAAACTATGCAAATAAACATTATAACACTTAAAATAAAACTATTATAGTGAACAAAAACACGAGTGGAGAGAACCGAATGTATTTGACACGAAATTACAGAGCAACTCACTAAAATCTGAGATTCATATAGTAAATAGTTAATTTACAAAATATCAATCCATCGTCTCAAACTTGACTGTTCCTTATGCGAATATCAGTCCATTGTCTCAGATTTCCTTGTTCATGCATTTTCATACTAACTGCGTTCCATTTCCATTCTTTCCTTCTCGACCTTCTACTGAAATACATTCTATGCCTGACCACCGTTCTTTGCTACTTATGTGAGTATAAGTAACCCACACCACGCTATTAGTGAATTAGCGTTGAACATAACTATTCTCTATCGATAATAATTATTCTATATTTTGGATAAAAAAATTAATTATGATTAAATATTTCATAAGAAAATAAGAAAACGGTTAATATGGATGTTGTTTTTATTTTATTTCTAAACATGTAACAACAACTAGTCAAAATGAAAAAAAGATACCAATCTAATTTAAATAAATCATTAAATGAAGATAGAGAGATAAAATTTTCTTTCATAAATGATTATAAGTTAATAAATAAACTCTTGAAAATATGAATAGTTGAATATACATTTACATTTTTGACCACTTGATGTTGTTTTACTTGTATCTTCCCACTGTTATTTAGCATTGTAATTGACCAGTCTCTTGTTGGTGTATGTGCAACCTATGTGGACTGCCTCGATATGGACTTAAGTCATGAACTCTTTAAGCAAAGATGGATAGTGACTAGTATTGGAACCCAGTTTTACTCGAGTTTTGTCCTATTTAGAATTCGCCAGTTACATCCAGTTGATGAGTCTGAAATAGGACAAAACGCACGTCCTAGATCCCACTGCTAGCCACTATCCATCTTTGCGTAAATATACATTTTTTGTGAAAGTTTAATTAATGAATATAAAGTGACTGAGGCTATGATTGTCGGAAGAATAGATAAAATTTTATGATAAATTATTCTATATATAAATACAGTTATCTCAAGACGCTCAAATTCAAAGTTAATTGAATACAGAAAATAAATCCTAACACCCTGTTTAGAAGCTAGGGTGATAGTTAGTGCTCGAACTTAAAGGATATGATACGTTTAGACTGATATCATGTTTGAATCAATGTTAGATCACCATTGAAAACCTAGAGGCAGTGGACGGCCGTTTCGTCATAATATAAGACTCATCACCAGTACGCATCCACGACCCGCATGTGGGGGTCGAACCCAGCACCTTCGGTTTCACGCATCAACGCTTAATCTCTAGAACACAGAGCCGGTATTCAACGATGTTAATATCTAACTTCAATCAATCCACGAAATTACGCGACCATTCACCAATGTCTTCAGAGAATGCTGCCTCTCAGCAGACACGGTTGAATTCCACTGGTCACGGCTTCCACTAGAACTCCAGGAAATCCATCTTGAAGCCAATTACTAATGATCACATGATAATTATCAATATAGCCATTAGACAAATCAAGAGTGAGAAAACAACAGAACCTAGAAACATACCAGCTCAAGCACTAAAGTCAGATATAGAGGTAACTACAAACGTGCTCCATGTTCTATTCAAGAAGATTTGGGGAGAGGAACAAGTGCCGATAAACTGGAAGGAAGGACACCTCATCAAGATACCAAAGAAAGGAGGCCTGAGCAAATGTGAGAACCACAGAGGCATCACACCACTTCCAGTACCAGGAAAGGTTTTCAACAGTATTGCTGAACCGGATGGAAGATCCAGTAGATGCCCAAATTCGTGATCAGCAATCTGGATTCTGTAAGGATCGGTCGTGCGCATACCAAATCGTGACACATGGGATCATCGTTGAACAATCAGTTGAATGGAACTCGTCACTATATATCAAATTCCTTAGTTATGAGAAAGCATTTAGCAGTGTGGATAGGTGAACATTATGAAACCTTCTTCGACACTATGGAGTGCCTGAGAAAATCGTCAGAATCATACAGAATTCATATCACAGACTACATTGTAAAGTGGCGTATGGAGGACAGTTGACAGATGCATTCCAATTAAGGATTGAAGTCAGACAAGGCTGCTTACTGTCCCCCTTTCTCTTTCTTTTGGTGTTTGGCTGGATTATGAAGACCTCGATATCTGACGGGAGACATGAAACACAATAGATAGCTTGGATACAGTTGAACAATTTGGACTTCCCAGATAACCTGGTCATTCTATCGTATACACATCAACAAATGCAAGTGAAGACAAGTGTAGCAGTAGCCTGTGTATCAGTAGCCCTCAACACACACAAGAAAAAAGCAAGACCCTCAAATATGACACAGAGAACACCAACCCAACCATACTTGATAGAGAGGTCTTGGAAGAGATGAAAACTTTCACGTACCTGGACAGCATCATCGATGAACAAGAGGGATCTGGTGAAGATGTGAAGGCAAGGATTGATAAAGCATGGACAGCATTTCTACAATCGGACAATAAGTATTTATAAATGACTGTGTACGAAAGATACTCAATATCCGTTGGCTGGATATCATCAGCAACAGCCTGCTGTGGGAACAAACAAACCAGCTTACAGCTGAAGAGAAAATTAGGAAACGTTTCTGGGGGTAGATAGGAAAAACATTGTGGAAATCAATAAGCTGCAAGACGAAGCAAGCCCTAACTTGAAATCTAAAAGGCAAGAAAGAGGCAGAAAAAAGTAAACGTTGAGCCATGAATCGAGGACAGATATGAAAAGAATAAATTTCAACTGGGAAGGATTGGCCAAAAATGAGTTCGAAGGACAATGCTGGAGTAACACTTGTAAGTGAGTAACTCACTTATATTAACATATGTCACTACCTATTTATTTGTTTTTATTCAACTCAAATACTAACTTAAAATTTGATGAGAACGTATGAATATTTGTATTTATCTAATCTGTTATCTTATGTTTCATAAGTATTGTATAATATAATCACTATATCACGACCATACAACATAAGTTCAGTAATTGGACAGGGGTGTTCGTCCCCTATGTCGAATATCGGATTGTATAGATACTACTGAAAGTAACCATTATAATTCATTTAGCTTTCAATACGATAACATTCCTGATTTTATATTGATTTAATTTTATTGTATATATATAGGCATGTGGAAATTCAAGTGATTTTACAGATAAATTAAACGTATCTCCTACACAGATCAAAAAGTCGTGTCAATCCTGGTCGTAAGTGTGCTTTTACATTATAGTACATTATTTATTCGCAGTGTCCTTTTATTTTTTGTAACTGTGTAAGTTACTTCGTTGCCTCATTGTAGTTAAGAGTGGGAACACTATCTATCTGGGAATATAGGAAAATAATGAAGATGGGATTCATAATTTAAAGATGCTTTATGGATTATGTTTGGCACCTAATGGCTCCACTTAGGTCAATTTGTACTTTAGTAAAATAACTGCGTTTATTTTATGAATGTTGCAGATGCATATTTCTCACTGATATGCTACAGTGGAAATGTAAACCTTAAGGTCAGCTATCCAAAATTCTGTTGCACATGTTAGCTTCCGAATTACTCTTTGACAGGCATTGGTTAATTATATTATATCCCAAGCAGAAGTTGTGGAACACATGTGTCTCATTTTGAGAGTAATTAAATTAGATAAAAGGAAAGACTGACTGATAAATGAATGAAATACGATTCGAATTCTGTTAGCAGTCAAACCGAGAAGCATTGTCCATGAGTTATCAGCCTTTATTTATTTGTTTAATACACAAAAATGCACCGAAATAAATATGCACCATACAAATAAAGGAACGAAATAGCGTAGATATAGAAGAACGAGAGAGTACAATAAAAAAAATAAGTCAATAAAAATAAGTGAATGAGAGTAGTATGTAATAGGAGAAACAGTTTAGTTAAAATAAAGTCGAAAAGAGTTCTTTCAGCTAATGAAGTTCCTTTCGTTTTTCATGAAGAATGTAAACGAAAACCAATGTAAACCTCCATTGACCTTTGTTATGAGCTATGATCGATAAAGTTTCACATCACTGAGCTGTCTCTAGAACCCGGATCAAACAGTTTCTGTGATCTGAAAGGTGCCAGTTTTGTTTCGCTTTCTTCCAAACCACGGTAACGTCTCATCGATTGACCAGATAATTGTTTCTTCCCCACCATTCTAGAGTGGGTAATCAATATCACACGCAAAACTCTCTAAGGTGACATTCGTAGCACTTGCCTAAACTACCTAAGGTGTTTCAAGGTTAAGAAACTAATTGATTTGTCGTTACTGAATAAGAAAACACATTGTTAAACCTCAGTATCACTAATATAGAATTGTCACTGAATGTTAGCAACTCTTCAGCGACAACGAATAGGAGATACAGTGAGCTGACAAACATCCTCAACTCGGGTAAGCCAGGTCGTCAACATAGTAACCCATAAGTCATTAATTTAGATCTTACTTCAACCGGAATTTACATTTTCAACATCATGTTCGTATTAAAAAATAAGTGTAAAAAGATAAATCATAAATTTTTTACTGTATTTTAATTTTCATAGGTTTCTACCAGAAACTAACCAACCTATTTCCAATCACCAAGATAAATGGGTCACTTTAGACAAAAACTTCGTTACAATATTAGTAACAAATCACTCTCATATAACATCTAGTACCGTAATGTATCCGGATGCTCATATCAGTGACCCATATTTAACTTTATTAATTCTGCATGAAAACACAACAAGGTTGGTATATACAAATTGTTTTATGAATAGATTCTTATGAATTATATATCGTTTACGTCCATATAAAATCTAAACTATATGCATTTATACAAACTGTATTATATACGAATATCAAAAAAGGATATCCAATACTTGTACAATACCGTTTTAATTTCTTTATGAACTTAATACTGGAAACAATCTTAAATAGTTTTAATAGCCGGAACAGTTTTATAATTTAAAAATTCTAAATAGTGTACTACATGAAAAGTACGTCTTGAAATTAATTCTATTTAATCATCTGTATACTTTTGTATGTTTTTTTTGCAACTGTACCTTAATTATTTTTTTATTTCAAAAAAAGATACGATCTAAAAATAGAATCAATTAATACTGCCTAATATCTAAAATTAACAATTCAGTAATATTATAAATATTCTGTGAAAAAAAAGCAAATATTTCAAGAAGTTAAAGCAAATTAGTACCTTTTATAAATTTAGATAGAACATTGTTTACAAATTAATATTTATTAAGAACATTTTTCTCTAAACATTTCCAATGCTCACTGAAGTTTACACTGAAATGTTTTAGCATCAAAGTATACTATAACTCTTGAACTTTGAATTTTAATTACTACTGTAACATTAAAAAATCAAAACCATTTGTATTCTCTTCAATTATATATTAATTATCAATGTGGAGTAGTGGAGATTATTGATTTTTTATTGGGATCATGAATAGATCAATATCTGACTTCTATTGGAAACCTGAAGAAACACTGAACGGCCGTTTTTTCCTAGTATGGGACCACTCACCAGTGCGCACCCACGATTGCGCACGCGGGATTCGAACTCAAGATCTTCGATCTCACTCGTAAACGCTTAAACTCTACACCACTGAGCCGGCATCCCATGGTGTTAATGTCTAACTTCAGCCAAACCACAAAATTACGCGATCATCTTCCACTGTCTGAGGTAGATAGCTGTCTTTATCTAACACGAATTAGCTTCACTGGTCATGGCTTCTCACCAAAACCCGGAGAATTACCTCACGAAGCTAGTTACTAGTGAGTACATGATAATTATCAGTATACGGTTGTGAAGATTGTTGAATCTTTTGATTAAGATCATGAATATATTAATTGTCAGTTGATGAATGTAGGACTATTTGTCTTAAAACTATCCTGACACTAAAAAGATGCAAAAACCGAGCTTAATAATAACTGAAGTAGGATAAACGTAATTTGTATCATTAGAGGTGCACTTTTTATGATTTTGTTTTCTGTTGTTTTAAAAATTATATTTCCACAATTAGTTTTATATGTTTATCTTAATGATCCAAAAATGTAACTTGGTGTATCTGAAATTTCTTTTAAAATCGCATGGGATAACGAATTATTTATGTTAAATACATTAGTTAAATTTCTTTTTCAATATTACATAACTAAGAAGTCATGCAAACTACCAGAACCTTTGGTCCTTCATGTTTTCTTACATCCATCTACTGCTCTAATTTTGTCTGTTTTAAATTTGTGTTAATAAATTAATTAAGTCTCTTAACTGCGTGTATTTACTCATTTTCATAACATGTTTTAAATTTATAGCTTATCTAATTATTGAGAAACTGAAGGAACGCAACGATGGTAGTTCATAGAATCCCACTGAATGTATTCGATAATATAAAAGGTGTCATAGGAGCACGACTTACTTTAGACATTTACGAATAAATGAAAATAACAGAGTATTATGGTTTAAAAACGTTTTGAATCTCCACAAATTTAGTGCATATAAAATGAAAATTTGTCAAAAACTTGTTTATTTAGTACTCAGAATTCTTTACTGTAATCACATAGTTGATATTGAATAAAAGAAATATTATATTTAGTTTGATTCGCATTTTAAAGCCATAAAATAACTAAACATTTTAACATTCTACAAAATCCTTGTTTTGTAATCTCCCCATGAAACAATATATTTTATATTGACATTAGTTTTAGTTCATTCTATTTTTGAATGGTAAAATAATCATACAATTACCTAAAATGTTGCAAATTCTGTTTTATAATATTATTCACAATATAAGATATTAGTTATTTTGCAGTAAAACAATTCACTATTATATTTGGTTCACGATGGGAAATTTACCCCAGCCGAATTGTTTATGAATACTAATTTGACCTTGTAAATTAACATCAGCTGAGTAACTATATAAGACAAGGAAATTCAAGAAAATGGTTTTGTGTTAGTGAAACACACTTTAAAAATACATTTGTTTATATAACGAGATTTAGAATTGTCCTAGAAAGTCATGAAACCAATAAGGCATACTAAACAAGTCAAGTATCGATGAGCATTCCAAATAAAATTTGGAAAGTAACACCATGACAAATCTTTCATGTAAGGTATTGGTTTCATAACGCATGCGTTAGGCCAAATTTATATTTTTATTTTATTTTTACAAAATTATATTTTAGACTTGATTTGTTAGCTTTGGGACGAGCAATGTCAAATGGTCAAGGCCTACAATCAACATCAAACATGGATATTGTAAAAATTTGTGCTCTACGAATAGAACCGTATTCTAAAGATTCAGTCATCACAATGCTGGACGGAGAGCTCATGCCTTCAGGCACATTTCAAGCAGAAGTTATCCCAGGAATTTTAAATGTTATTTCAGGTACCAAGGTTGTATGAACTCCATATTATTTCAGGTAATACTTATTACTGCTATAAGAAACTTGTCGTTTAGCCTGTAATTATATGTTGATTTATGAAAATATGATTTTATGACAAAAGGATTAGGTAGAGACTTATGCTGTCTTCAATCAGTTAACTATTAAAAATAAAAACTGGAATTGTGGAAGTTATTTTCCAAAACATAAAAAACTAAACGTTTGAAATATTCAAAGAAGAATAAAAGTAACATTAGCAAATTGATTTCGGTACTGAAGCCTACTGAAGTAACCGATTTTCTTCCAATACTCTTAAAAGTCCTAACATTTTAAATGAACAATTGAGGATTGATGTTTCACATAATATCATCAAATGTCTGCAGAACTACAGTTTTCCTTTAGTACTGAACTTGCAATTTTAAAAAATAAACAAATAGAGGTTATTTGTCATTCTTCTCTTGTTTATTTGCTACTACTTCAGGTAAAATGTTATATAATGACATTTAGTTCTAAATTTTATTTATAACTTAATTCTTGGTTCAGCAGACCAAAGGCCAATACAACAAAGTATTCTCATTCCCTCTTACGCATATTAAAATTATTGAAAGATTATTCACAGTAATTACAGTGTGTTGTGTTATGTCCGATTTTAAAAATGAATATAATATTTCATTTTGGTAATTAAAAACAGAATTACATAGTGAAGAATTGTGTATACGAATAGAAAATTGCTGATTTCAATACTGGATCCAATAGACATTTCCTACTCCTTTGAAGGATCATAAACATTAAAAAACATATCGTTTGATTTTGATCATTTGAAGCACACATTAAATATTTGCTCTTAACTATGCTATACTGATCAACGAAAATCCGTTACTAAGGGTATAGTACCATTAAAAATAAGAAATAACACTGACTGAGCAGAAAAGCATTTCAAATGCTTACTTATTCTAAGGGAATTTATACTTGAATCATAAACTGATAGCAAATTGTTTCGCGCTCATTCAAAGTTAGCACTCGAATGAATTACGTTGTGAATGGTATAGTGAGTAGAAAATAACATTTAAGCATACGGACGAGTGAATAACAATTTTTATAGATATGTTTTGAAAAAAACAGAACTTTTAATAGAAAATAACTTTCATGTTTTAAATCCTGTTTTGCATACATCGTTGCTTGCATACAATTAGTATAATTTCAAGACAATTTCTTTTATTACACTTGGTATCGTTTACTTGAATCTTCCCATCGATGTTTAGAACTGTCATTGATCAGTCTCTTATTGGCATATGTTCATACTGTACATATTGCCTTGATAATGCCTTAATTCACAAGCATTCTAAGTAAAGATGGATAGTGGCTAGCAAACGAATCCAAAACATGAATTTCATCCTATTCAGGACTTGTCAACTGGATGAACCTTCATCCTAGAGTTGTTATTTGAAACAAACAATATTGGGTTCAAGTCCCAGAGTGAATAACAAATCTGAGATACAAGTACATCCAGCTAACGAGTTTCAATTAGGATGAAAATCCTTTTCTGGATTCCACTGAGAGTCACTATCCATTTTTACCTACGATTTTTTTAAAATTATTTAAATAATCTAAAATTAATTAATTATTTTTACATTTTTATTTTATTTCGCAGAATTTCATTTTACTTATTTGAAACAAATCAGAACTTAATCAACGACTTATTTTTCTTTTCTAACTAAAATAAAACAAAAAAATATTTTTTTCTTTTAAATTTATACGTTTTTTTCACACTGTTGAATATTGTTCATTTCAATGTTGTTGTTGTTGTTGTTCTTTTTTTATCAATGCTTGGCAGAGTTTTAAATTTTCTCTATTTTAATGAATTAAAACAAAATAATAGAAAATTGATTTTTTAATTTTGTTTTTCTGATGGCTATTACAAATTTTGTTTTTATTTTTATTTTTTTATTTGTAAAAACTTAAATTTTAAAAAAATTAATTATTTAATATCAGATGGGTTTTGTGGATATTACAGTAATTTCAATGGTTAAGATCACGAGTCAGTTGAGGCTAGACCACCATGGAAAACCGTCCAGTGCTTCCGGGTTTTCCATGGTGGTCTAGCTTCGACTGACTCATGATCTCAACTACTGAAATTATTTATTTGTAAATTAATATTTTGAAGATATTTACTGATATGTACTACTTGTTTATCATAAGTAATTTAAAGTTTGAAAAAAATGTTTAAGAGTTAAATAAATAAAAAAGATATACATTTGACAAGTGATTGATTAATATCTTGTTTGTTTAATCTTTTAAGATAGACTGAATTCTATCAAATAAACTGTAATGTAATTACAGGCTCAATGGACTCTCGTTTACAATGTGATCGATAGAGTTTGATTTAAAAAATAAAAGATAAAATGTATATGTTATTGCTTAACGAATTTTTAATTTCTCAAAAATACAAGAGATCAGTTATTCCATGAAAGTCCTACACTACACAAATGGATGAATTAGGTTAAAATCCCATAGAAAACAAAAATTCATTCAGGATTATAAGCAAGCCTTATTATGGAGTGCCAACTAGTATGAAACAGATTTTTATCTCCAAACACCTCCAACTGTCCAATATATATATTTGATTTGACAAAAATGTTATATGTATAACTGAGAACCGTACTTCTATTTCTCAACTGAAAATTTCAATCCACTGCGAATTCGAAGTTACTTGAATTGTAGGCATTTATATTATAATGGTCAATGATTATAAAATAATAGTTTCTGGTTGAATCGAACTAAATCGATTTTGGAAAGTATGGTAAATAATTATATTTTAGATGATTGATTAAAAGCAATATTATCAAGACACGCCTACTTTTTAACTATTTTTATTCAATGAAGTTATACTAATGAATGATCTAGACTATTGCAATTCAACTTGGGAATTTTGAATGGCATTCTACGTTCGACGGTGAATTGAAACTTAAAAATTTATAAATCATCACAGAACATTTCTTTATTCTTTCTTGGCTCTCAATATTTCTCTTTTCAACTCTATTAATATATATAAATATACTACAATATCTATAATTAGACAATGAAGGCGTTTGTTTGCGAATTGTTAAAATGATATCATTCTATTTCAAAATATCTATAATAAAGAATTGATTTTTAGACTTTGTTCACCGGTAAAAAGTATTCAAAATGGTGCCATCTTTATGACACAAGAAAACAGTATTTTAAAAAAAAGTTATACACAACGTACAAATGGATTATATTTCTCAAGTTTCAATCGAAATAAACAGCAAAAAGAACTTCAAATAAATAATAAACAATAAACTTTGTGAAATGATTATGAAAAGATAGAAGAATTTTGATTCACATAACGTTGACAAAAAATTCAGTTCTTGGTAACCATAGTATTTTATTTGTTTTTTTAATGTCATATATCACACCACTTAACTGTTATGTAGTTATGAAAGTTAACAATAACATTTAAAAATGCATGCGAATACTGTCAGAGTAATATAAACATATCAAGATGCATATTTCATTAGCATAAAATTACTTAGTTGTACCAATGATTATGATTATTCGTATAGTCAGATGTGGTACGATTTTTATTTTATATGGATGAAGTAATAATCGATTGAATTTAAAGAATTCAAACATGAGAACTGATTTATATATTTTTTTGAAGTTGTTAACAGTTATCTGTTAGTTGTATTCATTACTGAATATCCGTTATTGGGAAAGTGATAGTCTGTTTAAAACAAAACATTAAGTTTCGATAATGATATTAGAAGACGAAGAAGTTCAGTTTCACGCGTTCCGATACAATTTTACATTTAAGGTTGACGAGTCACATATTCCCAAATCAACTATACAAGAATTTACGCTCAAGTAAATTACAACCAAATATTTCAAATCTTATTCGATTGTCGAAATCATATATAGATAAGTCCCAAGACAAACTGATCAATTTAATTGAATTACACACTCAAGCATTGCCTATATTAAATGAAATATCTATAGTCTGCCGTATTAAATTCACCAACTTTTGCAGTAATGTCATTTCGAAAACAAAAGAAAGGATCAGTAATAAGCTCGAAAAATCTTGTATTATTACTAATCAAGTTAATTTATTCCCAGTAAATCCGGAAAAGTATGTCACTAATTTATCCTCCATTGTATTATCTGCTAATGAAAAGGAAGCCCTTTCTCTTGGTTTTAATTTCTCCGTTCCTATAACGCAAATGTCTGAATTGGAAATAAATGCCCAATTTGAAAATCTATATGATCAACTGAGTACTTTAACCCCTACGTCTTCAAATAATCAAAGCTGGTGTAAAGCTAAACTAGTGGATATAGCACACCAATTTCATAGTGTTGGCCCGAAGCAGAGAAGCATATTAACTTCTCAGCATTTTAAATCATTAAAAGAACTACGATCAAACTCTGATATTGTCTTGTTAAAACCTGATAAAGGATCAGGCGTAGTTATCATGAATAAATGTGAATATAAAAGTAAGATGTTATCTATCCTTAGTGATGACAGTAAATTTATGCCTGATGTTGAATTTGGAGGTATCAGCAAACTAGAAAGAAGAGTAAATTCAAACCTAGAAAAATTGCTTCTCATGAATATTATTAATAAAGAGGAATTTAACTTTCTAAAACCTATGGGTTCCGAGTACCCTCATTTATATGGACTGCCTAAAATTCACAAACCTAACGTTCCTTTACGTCCAATTCTATCAATGTGCAGATCACCTACTCATAATCTGGCTAAATGGTTAGCAAAGTTGTTGGATCCTTTCCGAAGACATCTATGTAAGTATTCTCTAAAGGATTCTTTTGAACTGGTTGATCAGTTAGATGATATTAATATCAAGGAAAAGACAATGTGTTCATTTGATGTAAATTCCTTGTTTACAAATGTACCTTTAAAAAAAACCATTGATATATTATGTGATTACATATCTGAAAACAATTTTCAATCACGTGTACCTGTAAAACTTCTTAAAGATCTACTATTACTATGTACTGACAAAGTTCAGTTCACTTTTGAAGGTGAATACTTTCGTCAGATTGATGGAGTTGCTATGGGTAGTCCGCTAGGACCATTACTAGCAGATGTGTTCATGGCACATGTTGAAAATCAGACTGATGAATTAATCGGAAACATGTCACTTTATAAGAGATATGTGGACGATATCTTAGTTGTTTGTGAGAGAAAAGAGGATATGTACGGTTTATTAAATAAACTCAACACTCTCCAAAACCATATTAGTCTCTCATGTGAAGAGGAGAAAAACGATCAGCTTCCCTTCCTAGATATACTCCTGAGTAGACGAGAAGATGGTTCAGTAAAGCGATCTATTTTTAGAAAACCAACGTGGACAGGTCAATATCTCAGTTATTATAGTTATTGCCCTGTGCAATACAAACGTGGTTTGATAAGGTGTCTTTTCAACAGACTCGACCGTATTTGTACCAATGACGCCATTGATGATGATGTTAAGTTGTTAAATAAAACGTTAATAGAAAATGGCTATCCTCTGAAATTCATAAATAGATGGAAAGTCCATGGTTCAGCGAGACCTACTATAGCCTCGGTAGAGAAAAAGCCTGTCTACATCACCTTACCATTCAGAGGTGATTCAAATAGCCTTTTACTGAAACAACGACTTAAATCAGTCATCAATAAAACCTATTGCGCAGCAAAGGTCATCATCAAAGAAAGAACAAGGTGCATGCTTCATTCAAAACCTAAAGTACATGGAAACGATTGCGTCACATCCCACTCTGTTTACCAATTTAAATGTGTGTGTGGTCACACATACACAGGGAGGAGTAATCGTGATCTCAACATTAGGGTGAGTGAACATGTACCCAAATGTCTTCAGAAACAAATACAATCAAGTGACCCGATAAGAGCAGAGGATAAACATCCATCATCCTCTATTGCTAAACATATAATTGAAACAGGTCACAAGATTGATCTAAATTCAGCTTTTGTAGTGCTGTATAAAAGTGTAAAAGGGCGTATACTAAGGTTCATTGAAGCCTTAGCCATACGAAAATTCAAACCCCCTTTATGTGTTCAAAAACAGTTTGTTCTTACCTTAAACCTACCCTGGTAATATTGACTTATTATCCAGAGTGATTAGGTTTCAAATTGTGTTCACATTATTATTATTACTCTTATCATTATCCTTATCTCCTCTTACCCCGTTTCCTGTCTAGTTGACCTTTTATTTTTATATATAAATGCTCTTAACAAGTATATGTGTGACCAGATTGTTCGAAATGTATTGCGCTAATATATCACATAGTTCTGATAATCTTCGTCTTCTAATATCATTATCGAAATTTATCAAAGGGACTAATTGTTTTAAAACATTAAGTGTTTTGATTACAAAAAAAGAAAGAAAAGCTTAAGCGAAAGAGTTTTGTTTTACTAAACTTTTAAATAGGCTCCCCCAAAGGAAAATTACATAAATTCTGGGATTATTATTATTATTAAATAAAATTATCATCAATAATTGTTGTAATTGATGTATATTTTCAGTCACAGATTTTGAACGAACGATATTCAATGTAAGAAATCATTTTCATCTTTCATTCTATATAGTCAAGTTTTGTCGACAATTATACATCTATACTACTCATCTAAAATATTGTGATAAAATTATATTATTCAGCAAAGCAACCAGTAAAGAGGCCACAGGTTTTAAGTATTTGTTTTTTATCAGACAAGGAAGAATACATGGGTTATGATATCGAAATCTATGCTCATAAAGTTACAATAAGGTCAAATGTATCATATGTATATATAATGATTCACGAATGTACCAAAAACTTAGACTATTTGTTTGTTTGTTTTAAAAACATATCTTTACAAATATTCATTGTATAAATCAACAAAACAAAATAGATCATTTTAAAATGATGGTCAATTCAAACGGTATGACTTTGTTACACATAAACCTTATATATTGTTTGTTGATAACTGAAATAAATAAAATCGTATTTTACAGACAGATTGACCTTATAACAATCAACATTATTTTCTTTTTATCAAAAAAACATAAATTTAAAAATGAAACCATGAGCCATTTTCGATTGATTAAAATTTCAATAAATTTTCAACGGTAAATGAGATAGTCAAAAGTAACTGTACTTAAATAATGGAATTACATCTTTAAGTGTTGCCAATAGAGATATGAAATTTAGTTTTTGACTAAATATTGATTATTCTTAAATGTCAGAAAGATGATGAATATGATCTCAACAGACCTGTTGCCAGTTAAATCAACCTTATTCAAATAACACTGAAATGAATGAAGTGATTAGTACACTTATGATCATTATAAGCAACCTAGTACGTGCATATATTTTGACTAAATACTTTTGTAAAGCTGTTACGTAGTAGTTCTCAGTTATTAAACTTTTATATATTTAAATAAGCTCCCATGTCCACAGAAATGATCATGAAATCAAGAAATTGATAATTAATAGGTGATCACTTCTTCTTAACCACTTATTAGGGTTTATTCATTTTATTTACAGATGATGGTTGAAAGATAGATTTAGATAGCAAAATAATATCCATTAATGGACTTGACACTAGGATTTAATGGTCTGTTGCTAAATCCATGTGACCTAATTAATTGATCTCACTTCGATAATGACCGAAGTATTAGTATCTTCAGTTATCAATCGAGCATAAAAATAATCTACAAACCTCAAGGAATAACAGTTGTTTATTTCAGAATATGAAACGTCTTTATTAACTTATTAACTTGTTCTTAAACCTCTGTCTAAGTAGTTTTCAATTTTCTAGTTTATTTTTGGACTCATTTAGTTCTCTTTAAAGATAGTCGGCTATACGGACATTCGAAAATATCATGATGTTTAATGACAAGAATTTTGAGTTATGGTAAAATCTATTCAAAAGTCAACCTGCAAGTTCGCCGGTGAGGATAAACTCCACTCTCGATCAAAATTTTCACATTGCACCCAGCAACCAATCATAGTGAAGTCGTAATCTATGAAGCATGATGTGTTTCGTTCTCTGTTATCTTTTCTGGCTTACATAAAAATGTAAAGATTCCTACGAAGAAAGTACCATTCCATCATGCTACGGATGTGTCAAGTGTAAAGCACTCAGTTATGATGGAAGAAATAACAACCTTTATTACTGACGACGATACACTTTGATAACCTGACAAAGTGCAGCTTATCCTCAGCTGAATTCGCTACACGTAATATTATTTTTGAATAAACGCAAATTATCATGAGAACGAAAGTATAATTTGAAGATGAACAAATTAGAACTTTCAAATTGTGTAACACGTATATATGATGTGAACAATAATAATGTATCATGAAGAAGACTTATGGAAGTCAAACTTTTATCATGCTCCCTATCTATCAGTCAGTATCAACTTCTAACAAATTATAAATACACAGGTGAAACTCAACAAATGTCAGTGGAGCTACCTACAGAGTCGTTTCTCTACATTGTGATTTAATTCACTACACAAAAATCATTTTACATTGACAGACGAGGAGATTAACTTGTATGAATTGATCAATTTTTTATTAGTCAATGTACAGTTTCATAGACTCTAGGCTGTAAAGCAACATTGATTTAGAAATTACTTCATATAAACTTAAAAATGGTATAAGAATTGAATAGATAAAAATTAGTTTCGTATGTAATCTCAACTGAATACCAAAATTCAGGTTGATAATAACTAAATAAGTTGTGAACTGATTTGTGTGATATAAAAACTGGCTTATCTGTAATCTCTGCATCATTGAAGTAGTTATATATGAAGATAATTAGTTGGTGACACAATTTGTCATTCACAATTTGCATAGTTTAAGATTTAAACAATACTGAACAGTTTATGAACGTGACGTCCAGTCGATAGATATGTCAATGCAGTGAACTTATTACTTATTAAACGGATATTAAAAACAAACAATAGTTCTTCTTAACTTATCACGAACTTTCGCACATATTTGAAACTTACTAAACGGTTAGTAGAAACTTGGTATCTGAAAATATCCTTAGGAATTGTGAACGCATTTTTAAAAGTAAACTATATACTAGATAATCAGGATAAATCAGTATAAGATTAAGTGGATTCAAACAAAATTGTAAATCGTTTTCCGTCAAGTTGATTATATGATTGACTGGTTCATCTTCAACACACTGATCAAGCTACCAAAATTCGTATTCAGAAACCTAACCTTTATACTCAAAATAACCTCTACCTTGATCATCGACACAGATTAAATAAGCAAAGCCTACAGCAGAACTATGATTAATATTTTCTAAGCTTATTTTACATTTGCGTTCTTGTATAATTTTAAGATTAGTCTCTTTCGTCTTACGTTAATATTATTAGATTCACTTCAAATCAAAATAGTTTGCAAATTCTATCTTTGAATATTATGTAACTTATCAGCCGTTAAATTACATATTTCCAAATTTTACAAATAATTGTCTTGGTTTATACAAATATTCGTCAGTATTAGTACGAATAGTTTGACAAAAATTGGGCGCCAAGTATAGAGAAGACATTATATGCTTGACCTGAAGAAGTCCAGATAAGTTCGCTAGACGAAACATCTGAATTATTTAAATGTCAATCACTGAAATTATTTCAAATATAATTTCCACATTTAGATATCTTGATTGTTTGTAATTATCTTATCCACCTCCTGTTAGTTACTTAGTTATTTAAAGTCAGTCTCGTAATTACTTATGATGCCATGATATAATTATGTAACACTATAACTCGAGTAGTGTAGAGTCATGATGAAAAACTAATTAAAAGAATATATTTTACTGCTCTTCGTTTTTTAATAAGTAAATAAGAATCTATAGGATGAAAGGAAAATTATAATTCAGATCTCAGTTTACACTAACTACCAGTTACATGACATCCAAATCAATAAAAGAAATAATTTAAAAGAAACTGTATATTTATAGGGAAACATTTATGTTAAATTACAAATTGAAATTAGATGTCTGTTTATAAGTACATAGATATTTATCGTATTTGCATGTAATATATGGATGCCTAAATTAAAGTGCCCAGCTGACTTAGTGTATAGTTCATATCTCTTCTTAGTCTGCATACATAACATGAAGAACACCATATCCATTGACAGCAGTCTGAAGCTATTCCACCCTATAATGAATATAACAATAATTAGTCAACATGAATTTATAGCTGTAATCTAAAAAACATTTTTTAAAGTGAAAACTCAATTTATAACTGTTAACTTATCGTCTCTTTAAAGAATCACCTGACATTGCTGCTTGATATACGCTGATGATGATGATAGCTGGAATCAATGGAATAAATTTCTTCTGGCCAAAGAGAATCACCCACTCACCTGCCTCTTCAGAAATGTCCATTTTATTTACAAAAGATGATTTTATAGTAGATATTTTCCATAATAAAGTATTCAGCGGACCGAGTTTAAGTTTAATAAAACCTCATTACCTTATTATTAGAATTCAACTATGAACGTTTGATTATTGTCTATTTTACAATGTTTGTAGCAAGCTGTCTAATAAATACGTGCAAAGGTCAATTCTTTAATGAACGGGTTTTAAATGCAGATAAATGTATCACAAAGGTTTCAGTCTCGGTTCATTATTTATTATGTATGTACTCACTAATAACGTTTATCCAGGCACCTTTTAAAAATATGCCTGTCTTTACTTTCCAGAGTGTGTTGTACAGCTTATTTATTGCATATTTGAACGGTAATATCCAAATCTAAACAGTAGTTTATACAGTGATTCGTAAAACATGCCAAAATTTAAACTCTAACCATTCATTTTGTTTGTCTGCAAAATCATTATGAATGGAAGATGAGGCCATAAATAATAGACAAACCATAAAAGTCAAAGATAGCAAGTCTTGGATTTTGGCTCAAAGTTCACGTCGATTGGTTGACTTATTCAGTGTACAGTAAACCGAAGAACCATGTACCTATTTATATTCGATAATTTTGTTGTTTGATTATATTTTCCTTGAAAAAGCTTGGACCAGATTGCCAGGCGAAACGTTGGATTTACTTAAAATTCATTCGCTGAGATTTTACAAATATATTCTTCTTTTTAATGTCTCAAATTAACTCGGCGCCCAAATATTGTGAAACTATTCGTTCAAATTTAGACGAAAGTTCTTATTCAAAGTTCATTCATTCATACTCCTAAATAGAATTTTAGCATTATTGTTGATTTCAGTTGGTGTCTAGTTTCTAACCTTAACTTCTAACTCCAAATCTTAATCTTGATTCCTCATACCCTAGAAAATAGTTGATTTCTTTTCAAGGTTACTATAGCATCACTAAAAGATGGTCCATAAACTATAGTGTTATCGAATGGAATATAATATGCCTAACACATTCATTATTAGAATTTTTTATTATCCCATGATCATGTTTTACGCAACGTTCACAGTTTTAGAATTAAATACAACGTTAATGTGGGATATTTTAACATGGGATCACAAACTATTGAAATCACATGGCAAGATCTAACTTTTTATGTATAAAATCTTCTAATATTCCATCGATTTTCTATCAAATAAAATGTGTTTTAGACTTCTTTTTCTCTTTTCTTATAAACTTGATGAATGATCCACTGTTTAAAAAAATGGCACTAGAATATCTTGGATTTCTGTAGTCACATTACATTTGAATTTTAATGTTTGTCTTTATATTATTAAACGAATTCTGACATTCAATTCATACTTTAATCTCAATGTATTTTGCCGTTTTATCACTTGACAAAGGCTTTTTTGATACTGCTAAATTCAACATTGCACATTTATTAAAGCGATATATGCTGTATGTAAAGATAAAATATTTTCATTTCCATGAGTATTTCAACGTTATTATTGAGACCTAACAAGCCAGTTTAATCTCTCTATCATTTGTAAAGTGCATTCTTGTTATTAGTATATGTATATGCAACTCAAAAATGCTCTATCAACTATCCATCGAAAAGGAATGTTCAGGTTCTTTTAAAACCACATTTTCTTATATTAATTTTGCTTTGTTTCTATTTAATTGATATAAAAGTGATTAATTAGGCCTCTTAATTATTTTTGATAACATTGCTTATCTGTTTATATAGTGAGAAGTACTTTCCTAACTAAACCTCATAGATGATATGAGTTTAGAATGTTTCCACTTACACTCAACTTAAAGTCTGTTTGGATAATTTTTCTTGTCATTATTGTATGAACTAAGATTGATATCAATAATCTTGAATAATGATTCATAATTGAGAAAAATACAACACGATAATAAACTCACTTTAATTCTTTGACGTGCACGATGTTGTGTTCCCAGTACAAATTCAGATGCCGGTACGATTAATGGTGCACAACAACATTCTCCATAATCACGATACATTAAACATACTGAACATGAATAACAGAAAAATACACAACAACCTAGAAAACAAGTGAAAAAATTATTGTGTAATTATTAGGTCGGAAGAAAAAACAAATACTTTCAGTTTGTGCTGCTTAATTTCGATCTGCTAAATATACATCTATCATATGCATGGGTATATCTTTTGTGGCTCCAAATCTGACTCCAGGTTGATCATGTAAATGATTGTTACTGAAATATACATGTCGGCTATCCTAGTATATAATTATTGACTTAATCCACGTTAGTGAATAATGGAATTAAATAAGTTGAATACGAGAATGGATTTTCGAATACATGTATTTTGTACACTCATTGATCTGGACAGATAATCAGAGGAACAAAGCGAAGGAAGCAAAGAGAAAAGAGCGGGGCTAAATGACGCGTGAACCAACTCAATTTAATCAAACATGAACCAATATTTATTGCCAGATAAAAATAAGTTACAGACCTGTAATGTATAGGATAAGAAATAAACACACGCATACGCTCACATAAAAACAATCAAGGTTGATAAGTGAATTATTGACAAGGTTAAAATGTAGCTTGGGTAGAATAAATAGACTGATCTGTCCAAAGGCTGGAATAATCTATGTAGGCTTAACATAGTATCTGACACTATACATCTTGCCACTACACATTGCAGAATAATAAGGAAGATAAAATAAAGTTAAAAATTTAAGCTGTAAAGTTTACGAGTGATTTATCACAAAAAATAATTGCCCTCTTCATTCAATACAAATAAGGGAGTTACTTGAAAGCCAAAAATAATCCAACATCTGTTTAACTTTTACTTTTCTAGCCTAATAAATGAAGAGAATGGTATAAAGTAGTAATTTCAAGCAGGTGATAGAAATATCTTCCGAATAATGTAAAGAAAATAATCTAGTCTGATGAAAAAAACTCTGTGTTCTAAGCATTATATAAACATGGGAATTATCTAATTACTGAGATAATAAAGATAATGTATTGCATATGCGCAACATTCAATTATAGGCCATAACCTGAGCACTTAATTTAATTTATACCATATAAATATCTGATTGCCATTTGATAAACGGCAGATGTTTTGTATTTACTTCGATAGTTGATAGTAAAATATTTGTATACTTTGATATAAGTACACTTCTTTATTGGGTTCATTCAGACGTCTTCGTCCAACATAATCAACTTCCAAATTACTAGTGTATTCTTTGGTACAATCTTTAAAAGTGATTACTCATTTATTCATCAGATGCCTTTTAGTCTGAAGTAAATTATCCGTGATTTATTGCCTTACAAGTATCTATTCAAGGCTTTCAAAACTACAGACTTAAATTAATAGACCAAAATTAAAAAAGTAATTGATTAAATCTTGTTGGAGGTAATATAAACATTTTAATGTGCCGTTTATCTAACAGTTATATTCTTGTACGCATCAAAAATACACTAATTTCAACCGTGTCATTTATGTTACTAAATCATCGGATTTGGCTGATTAACTGATATTAGTAAATAAAACAATTAACTGTATGTGCTAATACGAATGAAATCAAAGTTAACCATTTGAGTTCTTGGATAAAGATTTGTTGATATTGATTACTTTCTATCAGTAACCAGCATAAATAAACACTTAAAAGTTTTTGTTGGTCAATTAAAAGACTGTTTTTCGTATATTCAAATTACATTCACATTGAATTTACATTGTTCCATGCATATATTTCATATACAACCAGTAGAACATAGAGAAAGAATACAATACTATTCTGCACAATATATTAAATTGCTTTATATATAAATATAAAAGAAATTAGGATAATGATGTTGATTGGTTAATCATAGTATATTAGAAATGCAAATTTCAGGATTGTTTATCAAATAATGTTTATATATAACTACTTAACTTTATCTAGTTTAGTTCATTGAAACTAACGAAATTAAAATTTAACAAAGAACATCTGTTGAACCATTTATTTATTGAAATAGCCCCCAAATGCCCTGGTACGGCCGAGAGTGGGGAGAGTCCGCTCTCCCCTCTCGAAATGATTTCACATGGCCATACGTATATAGCCTCTGCCAGGGAAGTTATACTCACTGCATACTCGTGGCGGGCATGTTGTTTACGAAATTTCGAGGACGAAAAGCGAATGTCCGGCGCTTTAACAGGGTTAATGGACATGGAGAGTCCGCCTAGGGGAGTTGGAAAACCCTGACTCCAAACCAATGGTGCACATGGGCTCCAGTATCCTGAGGGACCAAATGGCGAAGGAACCAATCGTCGGTCACCGGCTACCATGGGACTGCATCTCCTTACGTTGCTCCACTGCCTTGTGGATCAAACCATTAAATCAAAGGCTCCGGTTGTGGCACCCTAAGAAAAACACCTGCTTTGGTTTGGGCACCCGGGCAGTATCACAGCCGCCGCACGTATCAAGTGAGATTTGTGTCGCACATATGTATTTGGTGCCTCCCTGTACCAATATCTATGTATTAAATAAATAAAAAAATAAAACTATTGGAATAATTTTATATTTACCGCCATAACATTCACTATTGAAACATGTTGTAATATTGAATTTTTACTCATTAATTACTTTTCATATTTATTATTTTAAATATTCTACATTTACTACTTGAATCAACAAAGTTAGTAAAAAAAAGAATCTTACTTTTAATAAACTGATAGTCAGACAATAAGTCGAATACTCTTAATAATTCCTAAGTCACAATGTTTGTTATTTACATGATTTCAGCTTTAGCGCATATTTTAAATCTAAATATGATGGATGTAATCCAGAAAAAAAAGATTCACATATGCTACATAAAGAGAATTTATATCTCATTTTAAACATTCATATGAGTTTAGTAGTCATTTTGTTTTCTATTAAATTAGAAGATAAAACATGAATGGATAATAGAAATTAATGAATTCCAAGATATATGTTTCATACTATTTAAGGTTAATCAATAAATGAAGTAAATATGATTACTAGAATCAACAAACTGACGAATTTCAAATAAAATGTAACAGACTTCTTGAGTTTTACCACTACTCATTAACTTTCTTTACTTAGAAACTTAAAACTCAATAAATACAACAAAGTAATTTTGTCAAGATATAAATATTGTCAAAAGATCCTAATGAAAATTTAATCAATAACATCAACTAAAAAAGATTCCAAGACTTACAGATAACTAATGAATAATTTCAGAAGGGGTTTTTGTAGATATTATAGTTATTTCAATCGATGGAATCATGAGTAAATTGGAACTAGATCACCATGAAAAACCTGGAAGCATTGGTCAACCGTTTCGTCCTATTGTGAGACTCCTCAGGAGCGCGCATCCACGATCCCACCCCACAGGATTTGAACCCAAGACCTATCAGTCTCGCACGTGACCACTTAACCACTAGACCGTTAGTCTAGTGCTTCCAGGTTTCCCATGGTGGTTTAGATTCAATTGACTGGTGATCTCAACTATTGAAATTAATGAATAAATCACTATTTGATATAAATATATATGCAAATATAAACGTCATTTCGAAAGTCAGAAACTAATCGTTGAAGTATATTGATCGAGAAAATTTTATAGATCGAAATTGTTATACAGATAATTGGCAGATAATTAAATCATAGATATTCACTTAATTTAGCAATATCATTAAAACAAAATATGAACTGAAATAACTATCAAATTCACTAAAAACATAATACAATCTGATAATTAAGTATTAGATATTTCAACAGTTGAGATCATGAATCAGTTGTAGCTAGATCACCATGAAAAACCTGGAAGCATTGAACAACCGTTTCGTCCTATTGTGGATATTTGTACATATTTGTTAACTGGACTTTTATCTGACCAATAAATTATTTCTTTTCATAGCCCTTGGTTAATAGATAACCTCATTTGTTATTTAGTCTCGAATCCATTTTAGAAAGCAATCTTTTCTATCCTCCTATAAACATATATTTTTCATATTAGATAATCTATTGAAATCTGATAACCAATTATGAATAGATCAATTAAGATAAATAAATTCTTGATATTCATTAATGATTTTATTAGTAAACATTTAAGCTGATCAGTTAAATTCATCTTTCAATTTCTTAAATCATTCACGATAGACAATATCAAATGGATTAATTTGTTGACATTTAAATGGTGTTTTACAAATAAATGTAGACATCTTTCAATTAAGATCATTATCTCAGTATGATTTATCTTGACTTGCTTTAATTAATAGTAAATACGACAGATATTATTAGTAAATTGGATGTTCATAGATCAAAATAGAAAAAAATATAAATAAATGTATCTAAAAATCAATTAGGTCAGAGCATCAACTGTCATGTTTACCACTTACATCAACAGACATAAGTAGTATGCAAAACCAGTCAGAAGTGTAATGTCTGACAGCAGAATCTTAAAGAGATCGAAATAAAGAGAACAGAAATGTAAATAGAGAGAAATATCGACAACAATAAGAAAGAAACAATGAAGTTATTGAAAGGCAAATCATGAAAGATTGGCAAATGAAGAATTGAACGTATGGTTTTCACATTTAATGGACGAAAACTATGATTTTTCATTGAACAATGAATTGAACTTTCCCAGTTGAGATTTCGCTCACAAAAAAAAGCGTTAGATGGAAACCTTCAGTCTCAATTTTCTATTAACCATTTTTTCATGGTTCTAAATTTACATTTTATTGGCGCTCAGAACTAATGTAGTGAACAAGAACACAAGTGATGACGATTAAATGTATTTCAACACAGTTACAAAATCTAAGTAAAATCTGAAAACTACACACCAAATACTTCGGTTGCATAATCTAAAGCAATTCTCTCACACTTCATTGTTCATTCGTTTCCAAACCAAACACACTCTGTTCTCGTTCTCTTCTCCTCCTCCATCTTATTAACTTTCTTACAACAGACATTTCACTCTCGATTGATGATACATACTACTTATATCTGTCGACATCAGTAGCACACAACACAATCACATCAATTAATAACAATATACATATCAATTCCTCATCAATACTAATCTCTTGTTTATTCAAATACACGATCTCAGTTGCATAATCTATCCAAGTATGTAGAGATTAGGAAATATATACACATATCTATAACACTGTATGATACAATTCCAACGAAGCAATCCCATTTGTAGTAGATCTAAGGTGGGAGAATAAAAGCTTAATTAAATCATTAATCCAAAGATAATAATTGTGATACACATTCTTTTCATCATGTTGACTGCAATGTCTATCAATAACAGACAAGTTGCATCGAAACTTTCAGTTGACTTTACTAATTTAAGAATAAAAGATGAAAATTACATTTTGTTTTCTTGTTTGTCTTTTGCCTGTTCCTCAAAAGATGTAAACAAATAGATAATTTTTTAAAATGGGAAATGAAAATGGGATCGTTTCTTCTCCAAATATCAAAATGTGATACATGTCAAACAATTGAGCTTCTTACAAAAACATATTTTTATAAATCTGTTTAGTTTACTATTACTGAATAAATAAATAAATAAATAGACAAACTTTGTATTCACATGGTATTGTTTGTTTGCATGAAACTTCTCATTGATGATTAGGACTGCATTTGATCAATCTGTTATTAGCATATGTGCATAATGTGTGAGTTGTCTCGTTGTTGCCATCAGTCACAAACATTACACAAATTTCTAGAGTCAATAACTATCATGCCCCTAAAATATGATATGTATGCTCATAAATAAATCTTTATCTGACAATACTACATTAACAAAGTTGAATGTCGGCCAGCTCAATTGTCTAGAGCTTAAGCGTTCGCTTGCGAGACCGATAGGTTCCCCGTGGGAGGTGGGATCGTGGATACGCACTGCTGAGAAGTCTAACAATAGGACGAAATAGCCATCCAGTACTTCCAGGTTTTCCATGATGGTCTAGTAACTATTAAGCTTTTATTTCCGTGAAATTAGTTCTAATAGATTGAATACGCCTTTTTACTATTAAAAATGTTATAAGTGAGAAAACTATTAAAATAAATATAGAAAGTTATCTAGTCTACTGAACAGTTTGTTGTATATATTTAATAAACATAACTAATTAACTAACTGATCATAATTTTCTTTATTATTTTTAAAATCATACGATATTTAATGTACGTAGGCCATGTTTAAAATGATGTATTATCTAAAAGTATCTGTACTACAATTCAATATGTCTTATAAAATGTGTAACCATCATTAATGAGTAAAATTTAATTTAAATAAAAATAGTAATGGTATTTAAAAGTAAACAGATGAAATTTATATTTAGTTTCAATACAGAATAACAAATAAACTCTTAGAAGTAACTATAAGTTTCTGATAAGAAAGTAAAGTTTCTAAATAATGTTAAGAATAATACCTTGACTAAATATTATCATTAATGGTAGCAGCTATGATTTATTTCATTGGAAAGACTATTTCGAAGGAAACTAGGACTTTTTTTATATTTACAACTTGTTGTTTTAACTGAATTGGTTTTAAACTTCTTCAACTGTTTAGATTTGTAATTAACCAATACGATAAACAATGAAATAACTTAATATGGCTTTTTATGGGTTGATATCAAAAACAGAAACAACTGAAAACTGAGGGAACCGGATAGATGTTTCTTCAGTAATGTGAATACTCTCTCATATTAAGATGGTGGTTGGAGGTAGTCAACAGGAAACTATGGCCCTAGGTTTCGTGCTGCTCATTACCCGCCAACAAGGTGTAACTGTAATCTAGAGGGAACTGATACTTCCTGACGGATTCGATCCCCTGTCACCCAGCTTTACAGTTAGAGACGCTACCACTGAGCTATCCGGGCCGCAACTGAATTTCTATAGGATTGAGATGTATTTACAATTGACTGATCATTGGGTGGTGATCATTGTCATATGTGTCAGATCCTTCTTAGTTCAGATCGAATCATATCTCAACATAGTGCACTCAATGTCGAGTCACCCAAACTGGTGGCCACATTGCCCTGGGAGTCAGAAGGTCTTCATTTAGAAGAGTTATGACGCCTCATGATAAAAGCCGAATTCCTTCGGAAGTTACGAAGCCGATTCCCCTTCTGACAACCAGAACGACCATTTATTTAGGTACATGGAATGTTTGTACAATGTGGGACACCGGGAGAGCCTTCCAAATGGCTGCAGAAATGAGAAGGTACAACCTAGAGGTACTTGGGACCAGTGAAACACATTGGACACAAGTTGGACAACAACGACTAGCTTCAAAGGAGCTTCTATTATACTCTGGCCATGAAGAAGAAAATGCCCCACATACACAAGGAGTTGCATTAATGCTGTCCAAACAAGCGCAAAATGCACTTATAAGATGGGAATCTCATGGACCAAGGATCATCAAAGCCATCTTCAAAATAAAGAAATAGGGCATTTCAATGAACGTTATCTAATGCTATGCGCCTACCAACGACCACAATGAAGACGCCGAAGATCAATCCTACAATAGGCTCAACAAAGGACCTGACCATTCTGATGGGAGATTAAAATGCCAAGGTTGGAATGGACAACACCAGGTATGAAGACACCATGTGACGACACGAACTGGGAGAAAGGAAAGAAAATGGTGAGAGATTTGCAAACCTATGTGCCTTCAATAAACTGGTCATAGGCGGCACCATATTCCCACACAAACGCATGCACAAAGTCACATGGACCTCACTGGATCACAATACACAGAACCAAATCGACCATATCTGCATCAACAAAAAGTTCAGGAGGACAATGGATGATTTGAGAACCAAGAGAGGAGCTGATTTAGCATCAGATCATCACTTGCTGGTCGCCAAGATGAAATTGAAACTCAAGAAACACTGGACAACGGGGCGGACAATATCACAAAAGTTCAATACGGCCTTTCTTCAGGATACTAACAAACTCAAGAAATTCAAGATAGCCCTCAGCAATAAGTTCCAGGCCTTTCATGATCTACTCAATGGAGAACGAACCACTATGGAGAGCAACTTAAAAAGGATCACAGAAGCAATCACTTCAACATGCCATGAGGTTCTGGGCCACAAGAAGCACCACCACAAGGAATGGATCACTGTTGATACACTGGATAAGATTCAAGAAAGGAGGAACAAAAAGGCAGTAATCAATACCAGCCGAACAAAAGCAGAAAAAGCCAAGGCA